TCGGCGGGGGGGGGCTGAGCTGCCGGCTGGGGTTAAACCGTGACAATCTCCTACAAACCATTGAACCAGATGTACAGCTTCATAAATCAGATTGCAGCATCTGATTGACTTGCTTCCCCTATCTCACAGGGCTGACGGGAGGATCAGTGCCGTGCAATGCTTTGAAGATAAGGTGCTGCGTGTGTGCTGGTTGAACAGCACCGGCACGTTAGCCAGCGCCTCTACCAGTGCAAACTGCAGACAGCCTTCTTCTCAGCTGGGTCCTTTCTAATCCAGTTCTGGAAGATAAAAAGCTGCTTCGATCTGTCTCGGTCCTTTTTAGACAATTGCCCTCCAAGTTTCCAAAAAAATTTTGACTCATTCAAAAAGGAAACATTAATATTTAAAGAAGATAAATCACTCCAGATCCATCTCATCAATCATTATGGGCATCTCTCCCCATCCTCACCTTCCCTCCTAGCCATGCTTCATGCTCTGGTGCAGAGACCAATCTCCTTGTCAAATTCCATCACCTGCTTGCGTAAGTACTCCCAGTATGATTTGTGGAAATGGTCTCCAGGTAATAACCCACACCCTGTTCAGCCACCTCTCCTTTTTTAAAGGGAAATCCAGCAGCTGAGGAATCCAGCCATCTCCAAGCACCTCCAGACTCCAGAGGGCACCTGCCCCATGCCTGCTCACGTGGCCACCAGCCACGCTGCTCAGGGCTGCTAACGGACGGGACATTTTGGCAATAAACCTGGCCTGAACAAGAAGATGGGCGAAAGCCCTTCTGACCTCTCTGCACAGGAGGCAACACTTTATTTAGAAGTTTGTTCCAAGAAAGCACCTTCTCCTCAACAGCACTTCCAGGTACAGAGAACTGGGAAAGCCACATTTCTCTTTTGGTGGCTTCTCCATCCACAGCAGATCAGTCCTCATTTCCATGTGGCTACCAAATCTTCCTGCTATGATAGAGAAGGCCAAAGACACAAGCCATGCAGAAGACTGCAAAGTTTTGGGGCTGTAACACGTCCTGAAGCGGCTCTGGAGTGCTTGAACATCCTTCCAGTAGCGCAATCGCAACGACATAAACAAGCAGAATGGAGTTAAGGAAACTGCCATTGTGTATGATCAGTCTTTTCTTCCTGTTTATATCCAAGCTCGTGAAAAGTGCCCAGTGTGCGCCCGTGTACTATAATCCTGGGCACCCACTAACAACAAATAAATAACTGTCCAGTAAAGAAGAAAGATCTGAAATGGCTTTTAGGACAAATATAGTGTTCAGTGGATTTGCTATTTCAAAATACCTGCTGATTGAAGATACTCATAAGTATATATCCAGATAGCTCAGTACAAATCTTATTTAAAGGAAAAAACACTATTTGAGCAAAAATGAAACTCCCTGACGATTATATTTTTCCTATTCAACGGGACATTACTCAGCCAACTGCAAAAAACAACATAAAATACATTTTTTGATCGCAATAACAGCATAAACACAGGCATATTTTAGACAGCAGAGAAAAGAAAGAAACATATGCTGCCTTCCAACGCAGAGCAATATTTTGATGTAAGGCATCCAGTGCCTTGACAAACATTTGGAAATGTATCTGCGGTTCAAATAATAGACACTCTTATACTGGGATCTCTTGAAAAAAATCTTGAATGTCCATTAAGCTGAAAGTTAATATATCTAAAACGTAGGTGGCTAGTGAATTATGATCCTACTTCTACATGCTGGACTGTGATATCTCCCTCGTTCATGTATAAGTAGACTTGCAAATACTTGGGGAGACTCTCACTGAAGCTCAACTTCTGGTAACACATGAAATGGCTTACTTTATAAATAGATTTGTTATTTCATAACACTTGACAGTACAAGGCCCCTCTTCCATCACACTCCATAAAGCCCGAGCGACCATTAGTTTCAAGAGCATGGCGCCATCAGATGCCCGTGCGCTTCCCGGAGGGAAAAAAAAAGCAAATCAGTGGAGATGGCTTACCGGGAGGTGGGTGAACACAGCAAACGTGCTGCGTAGAAAGCCAATGAGATCTACAAGGTAGTCGCTGGCCTTGCTGCCTGGCTCCATGGCCATCCAGTCGTAGTCCGCCAGCTGCAAGAACTGGTCTATCTTCTGGTTCAGGTTAGTGTAAATCTCCTCCTCAGCAGCATGGCGGGCGTCCTGGGAAACAGGACAACGTTACACAGGATGGAGTCTCCATACCACAAGTCTACACAAGTAACAAGACGTGAGATTGACCCAACTTTTAGCCCTAAAGGTAGCACAAGACAAAGCGCCTGTGGGCAACTACGTGGCTGCTACAGCCTCAGGTTAGCTCAGATTGATGGGATATGTGCCACCAGGTCAGTGGTAGGCAAGATCAAGCTGGTGTCTGCCTCTGATGCAACCTGGGGACCAGGAGGCCAAATCTAGTGCAGGATGGAAGAGAGAGAGATGGGAGAGGAATATCCCATATGGAAAAAGGTCAAGGCCCACCAAACTGTGTACAGGTATGGGGTGCAGGAGGGCCACCGAGGAGCCTCCCTGCCAGAATAAGGGTAGGAAAACTCATCCTCAGGCCAAATAGGTAGATGATGCCAGAAGGGACAACGAATGGACTTCCCTGGGGCCTTAGTCTCCTGCTGAGTTATCCCAAGGGCAAACCTCACCTAACCAATTCCCTACTGTTGCTCGAGTCCTCGGCGCTGTTCTGTCTCCCGCTCTCCAGCCACGGGACACAATTCAGCCACCCCACAGCTGACCCAATTATGGCCTTAAGATTTCATATAAAGTATCTGGGTGGATGCTCCTGGATTATGATTTAAAGATTTAAAGAGTGGGAAGTCTAGCAGTTTCTGCCAGCCCTGATTTTCAGGGGATAATGCTAAAAGGAGTGGAATGATACAGAAATAAAAGTTCTGAAAATCTATTCTCCTCTTGGGTGAAAGAGGAGAGTTTACGTTCATGGCCAGACGTGTGTAACACTGTATGGCGCTTAAACAGCAAAATGAAAATTTATTTAAAAAAAAAAAAAAATTCAGGCTTTTAAAAGCCGCTTAATCCTTTAGATAATAAGTGCTGCAGTCACAGCCTGTAAATTAGGACTACAAAGGCTCACGATCTCGACAAAGTAATGCTCCGAAGGACAAACCCAAAAGCTAGTCTGATGGCGTAAGCTTCCCAGGATATGACAAAATCACCTTTCACCTCAGCTTAGCTCCCTACATACACACATCCACACACGGGCTTTGAAAGCAGATACTCTCCAACCAAACATCAACAGCAACTCCCCCGAGGTGGATCTACCAGCCTTCTCACCTTGAAGGTTGTGGTCCCGTAGAGTTTCGTAGTGTGGACAGTTTCTGGAAGTACGTTAGTGATATTGGTTATGAATTCCTCTAGGAACTTGCAGGATTTCTCCAAATGGGTCGTATTTATAATAATCTGTACAAGCTGCAAAGGCAAAAAAGGTATTGAAAGACGGTGCTCCTGAAGCCAGGGACGTGCCAGGTTAACAGATGCCAATTTATAAGAAATTCTGGCATGAAAAGCTGACGCTGTACAAACACACTAAGCTTTGCTACACGCTCAAAGGCTCTCCTCCTTTAATAACATCAGAAACTTAAATAGAAGATAATTTTGGGGGAAAAGCATTTCCCATGACAGCCACTAATACCACAAAAGATTTTTTTTTTCCAATGACTTTCCTACATTCAGCTGTCAGTCAGGGCTCATTTCAGCGCAATTCAAATACAACAGGCTTACAAAAAAATGCCATGTCAAATCCCAAGTATTCTGTCTGCTAGTGAACCCTAAATAACCCATATCTTGAGTGACACCAAACATCATCATACTAAGGCATTTAACAAAGGAACCGCAAGGTTTTACTTTTTGAGGGTGGTGTGGGTGAACAGCAGATCTCACCCTGGTATCTTCTCAGTTATCATACCCACCATTATCTGCAATTTTCTTAATGCCTTCACATGGCACTATTTAGGGACACTAAAGGCATCTACAGAGCAAAAGCCTCTGCGGAAGTCAACCAACACAAACATTTACAATCCAGAGCAAACCAATTCAGGCTTCCACTTTAGGATCACTGACTTGGAAGCATCATTAATTCCTTAAGCAGATACCTTTTTTCTGAGCAGACTGCCGCAAATATTTTCAAGGTGCAACATAAGCTATAACAAAACCTTTCCAAATAACGCGTATCTCAGATATCATGCCAAAACAGTTCTCTTACAGAGACAGAAGGCATTATAATGCTCCAGATTGATATAATTTAATTGCTGGAGTATGGTGTGGCCGTCCGCAGTTACCGCCTCTAAAGAAATGGTTTTGAAACACTCACAAATCTCCTGAATGAGATGGATTAATCACCGATTTGAATGTTGCAGGCACAGAAATATTGAAGTAACGCTACAAAGATTATAGCCCCCAACTTTTCTTAGTGCCAGATGACATGAGAAGAGGCAACAGTCACAGTTTGGGAGGTTCATCTTGGATATTAGGAAGTAAAAGAGTCATTAGGAAGGTAGTGCAGAACTCGGGGTGCCCAGCGAAGCTGTGGGACCTATGTTTTGGAGAAATTAAAGCTCAGGTAGAGAAAGCAATAGTCGCTGTGGGACCTATGTTTTGGAGAAATTAAAACTCAGGTAGAGAAAGCAACAGTCAACGTGATCCGAATAAGTAATAATTGTACTTCCACTGAGAGGTTGGGCTAGATACCTCCAGAGGTCCCTTCCAGCCAACACTTCTGCGATTTCAGTCAGGTTTTTGTTTTTAAGAAATCAAATTACAATCTATTTGAACTCCTCTTGTTCCGTACTTGGTCCCTTAAATGTACTACACAGGTAACTAGAGGGGCTTCTCATTTCTGAATTCCTTGGGTTAATTCTGTTCTTGATTTTTGCCTTCAAACAAGTGCTCATTTGTTTGCCTTTCTCTGTGTCAGATAGCCCTGACATCACAATCGTGATATCCTTTCCTATAGTTTGAAGTGAATTAAATATCTCCAACTGTGTGAAATTCCTCCTAAACCTCTTCTCTGATCATCACAACTTACTGGTCCAAATCAGCTATCAAACCTGAAGGGCCTGATTGCTTTGAGTCTCTTCCACCACTTGCTATGAGCTTTTCTGCTCCCCCTCTGGCTCCATCAAGTTCTGATCTTCTCTTGAATTCGGATTCTCGTTGGGGTAAGACCTTCTCGTTGGCATATTCAAATGAAAAAAATAGTAGCGTCTTTTCTCTCTCTTGTTTTGAGGGATGTCAGGATTATTCAAAACACCAGGAATATTTGGAGCAGACTTGGTAGCAAACTTCAACATCCACTGCTCAGAGATAGCCCAAAAAAAGAGCAATGAAAAAATAAATTGAAGAGGATAACAGACCAGGAAGGTTGGTACACAGCCTTGTATTATCTTGTCCACTGCTTGAAAAATGACATCGGAGAGCCCAGAAACGGATGGTGTTGCTTTGTGCAAAAATTAAATCTGGGAAGTGATAGTTATGCAGGGTACTTAAATATCTTCTGCAATCATTTTTGACACCAGGACTATGCTTGTGTATGATCTGGGACTCTTCAACGCGCCCTTTAATTCCTGTGCTCCACACAGTCACATCAATGTCTTTTCTTAAAAGGGAAGGATTTGAGAAACTCAGAAGAAAAACGCCGCGTGCTTCCATTGACCTGGTCAATGGTTACACAAAGAAAAGAGGCAGGAGGGGACGAAGATGCTCAAAATAGTTTTTCTTCAACCAAATTAGAAAAAAATGATGGTAGAGATAACCCCAGGAGAGAGCTAGTTGTACCTTGGTAAGTGGTAAGGAACAAGAGGGTGAAACTATGAGAATAGATTCAGAGACGAACACCAGCCTCTGGACATACTACACCTTTATTTTAAACTCAAGTTGTGCTTTTCTCGCAAAAATCCTCTTCAGCTCCAAAGTACATGAAGAAGCCACTCTCAGCCAAAAGAAAGGCATCACCTTCACTCAACGTGGAAGATGCCAAGGAATATCTACACCGTCTAAACTGGGCAAAAGAGGCTGAGAGGACTGTCGCACCCGTTTTGCCCTTCCTACGCTCAATCACACTGTGGGAACATTTGCAACAGCAGCAAAAAGATCATTTGGGGGATGGATGGTGCAGGGATAGTGTTGCATTCCTCTTTGTGAGGGAGCGCTGGGAGGAGCAGGAGGGAAGAGGAATTTGCCCCCAGGAAGCAGAGAGATTCCAGACCGTGAGATAAAGGGCTGAGGAAGCATCATGTGTAAATACATACTGCTGTAAATGCACTAAACTCTCCAAGACTCACTTCCCTAGGGTATTTACAGTGTCCAGAGAACACGACACATTTCTACAGTACAGTCAATTAAACAACTGCAACTGTATTAATACCTCCTCATTTAATAACAGCACACAGAGGTCCCAGTAAGGCATCCAAACTGCCCTGCGTACCACACACGTTCCCAAACAGCCATGATTTACACGCGTTAAACTTTTCAGAAATCTGACTTTGTGCACAAAAAAGTATCAATCGCAAAAAGAAAATGCCAATACAGAGTTTATACTGTAGCGATGTGCTGAAACCACCTCAAATATCACCTACAGATGGGGACCACTCCCCCATCCTCTCCTAGCTCCCAGTTGGCTCTTCTTCGCCATTCCTTGAAGTCCTCTTACCCACCACTTTAATTCAGATATTGAATGCTCTGCAAATTCAAAAGAGGGGCAATTCTAACAGCAACAGCAAAAAAGCTTCCTCTTTCCTGCAGTATTAAGTGTTCGTTTCTTTGTACAGCAACACTGTGTGGTTCCATTATTGTTTTCCAACCTAGTATTTTATAATAACGCTCCAAAATCCAAAAAGCATTTCTAAAGGTGCTCTAAGGAGCTCTGAGGGACCAAACCCCCTTCTGTCACCCTGCCCTAGAAATGGGTCTCCTCGAAGCCGCGTCCTACCTCCGTCAGCCCGACGTTTTTCCTCTTGATGACATTCTGTAAACAGTTGCTCAGCGTTCGGGTCAGCAGCAGATTTGTAGATTTTCTAATCATATCATCAACTTCGGTGGAGCTGAAAAGTAGAATTTAAAGAGAGATTTGCAAAACGCGCTATGAAAAGAAAATCACCTGGAGCCCTCATCACCCGGTTTCCTTCTCAACCCTCCGCTGCCTTACGCACAATCATCCATGCACTGCTCACAGGCACTGACATACTAATATATACCAAAATACCAACAATTTAGGCCTTTTTGTGCATGTGTCTATAAGGAAGGGGGACTAACGCGTGCTAAACCTACATCCCTGAGCCTCTCCTCTTAGAGGGGCTGGTGCAGCACGGGTGAGAGCTGCCCGCAGCGCCAGCACTAACCCATGCACTGCCCTGCACACAGCGCTGGAGTTTTCACGTTCAGTACAAGGGGAAAGGGATCAAAGACCTGCAATGGAGGGGGGGAGGGAAACAAATCAAACCCCCCAAAATACCTCCCCCCACCCTTCTCATGGTTTTTTCTTTCACTAAATCAGACTGGAAGCTTTTGCAATACATTCACGCCCTTTGCCAGATGGTTGCAACGGCAGCATTGCTGAAGTTTGGGGATTTGGCTTTCTGCTTAAGTGTTCCTGCCCCTCCAACACACACGCCAGCAAGGTGCAACCTCTGCTTTCTCAAGGAGGTTTTGGAAACCCACCCCAGCACAGGCTCCTTTGATCTGTCGTTGGCCCTGCATTAGCCCTGACACCACAGGGCTTTATCTCTGGCAGCGCAGTGACAGGCAGAGAAAATTTTCAACTGGAAGGCTGAGAAGCGTTAATAACTTTCAGGCTCCCAGTAAATCAAGCCCGTGACCTTTTGCTCCTTCTCCTGTTTTACCTGACAAATGGGCCAGATTACAAAGCAGGGATGGACACGAGAAGGAAAAGCAAACCTTGCAGTTACCACACCGCCAGCATGCAAGGTGGGGGATCTCGGGGTGCTGCTATTGGGGTGTCCGCTGGTGCGGGGAAGGGTGGTGCCAGCCCTTGCCCAGCTCACATCTCCCAAATTTCTGTGTCTATTTAACGTTAAAGCAGATGCACTGAGCCAAGCCCTGGTCCACCAGCACCATCAGCTTGGGAAAGCAAGACTGAGTCTTCTCTAACAGCAACCTGTGGTCACAGCAGCATCCCCTGAACTTGCTCATCCTCCTCGAGCACCGCGCATCGTTCAGTTGACTAAATTTTTCAAGTCATTCAGGACCTTCCTTGTGCTGTTGCATGAGAATTGCACTGAAATCCCCCAAATTCCCAGAAGAAGTGGCAAATATTGCTCCCTGCTCGCATCTCTGAGCAAAGCCATGTTCGTATTTCTGTGAGACCAAGAAAGCCGTGTCTTGCTGCAGCTTTCCCAAGGAAAAGCCCAGCTGCACAACTCCCCGCACGCCCAGCGGCTGCTCGCCACGCTGCGCTCCCCAACAGGTTTCTCTAATATTTCCTTTCCCCTGATGTTTAGAAGTCTGCTTTTCCGAGCTACACGCCTGCCAAGGGTTGACCACTGTCTCCTTCCCAGTTGGATGCAAGCGGAGCAGGGCCAGGAGCTCGGCAGGACCCAGCTCCTGATAATTTAAATTCAGTGTCATCAGCCAAAGTCTTAGTGTGGGTCTCTTCTAGATCACCACCGCTGAGCCCTGTGAGTTTATTTTCTTCCTGCTTAGCGGGGAAGCACACCCTGTGCCAGCGATGATTGGGGCTAGACCACTCCACGGCCCAGATGGACGTCTTGGCTCCTTCTCGCAGGGTTTTGATGTGTGCTCCAAGGTGATGCATTTGGGTTTTTTTAAAGTGTGGAACAGAAATGAAAATGCAGGGGGAGAAGAAACCAGTCAATGAATTTTCCTGGTCTTTATACTATGGCTAGGGCTCTCAAATAAGGTTTTACTTAAAGATAAACAAAAAAAAAAAACCCAAACCCCAGCACGCATGCATGCACACACCCCCAGGCCCTCCATTATCCCCCAGGAAGAACCAGATTGTCCCCAGTCCCCTCCACCAGACAATAGCACGGTTAAATATAGCAAGTACAATAAAATCTAACCCTGTGATGATCTACAGATGGTAAAAAGGAGATTTAAAGCGAAGGGGGGGTACAAAGGAACCCTGTGACACCGGGGGCAGCTGCCTGCTGCTGCCGGAGCGGCGTGGGAAGCAGGCAAGGGGACTGGGGAGCAAAAAGGGCTGGACCCACGCTCGGAGGGGGTAAAGAAAAAATTGCATGGGAAGCAAAGGTACACAAAGCTGTGCCTTTGTACAAGCACTGTGGCCCTTTCGGGATTTTCCCTGGGAAATCCAAAAATGCCCGACCCTAAGGATGGTGGAGGTGCAGAACAGCCGAGGCTGGAAGAGGAGCTGGTGGCTGGAACTTCCAGCATCTACTGGAACTGAGAAAGCGCGGATGAAAAACAAGGTCTTTTGGACATTATGTCAGCTTTTCTCACTAAACCAACACAGCAATCAAATAGGTCGTGCTGGAAAAGCTTGCTTTTTTTAATTCAAACGTCAACCTGTCATCAGGGCGTCGAAATTAAACAAGCCAGTTACTGTCTGGCTGTGTGTACGCCCCGAGACAGTCATGCTCTTGGCAGGAGTAGGATGCTGCTGGCCTCTGCCTGACGCCGCAGCCAGTGCTGACGGCACGAGGTTGCCATATCACCAAACGTTTTGCAAATTGAGGGTTTGCTTTAATCGCTCACTTCAGCTGCAGGAACATCTCAACCATGATAGCCTCCAGGGCATAAACAAGTAGTGCTTAATAATACTGCTTAGCACTTCCACGCTGCTTTTACTGCTTCAAAGCACTTCTAACCGAGCTTTCTCTGCAAAGCACCATTTCCAAAGGTTTCCTATTCTCATCTTGTTTGTCGGCTGCATGAGCTAGAAAATTAGGTTGTAACTTTAGTTACATGGTGGGTCAAGCAGCCTGGTAACCCCCGCTCTTGGGTTCCACCAGAGCAGAAGGATCTGCGACATCTCCCATGAGGTCCACACACTGAGAAAGGAAAAAAAACGGAAGCATTCTCTGGAAAAAAAAAAAGAGCAGGATTTGACCAGGTACTGGACTGCGATCCCCCAAAATCTACCCCCAAAGAGGTAAGTGAGGGTGGCAACAGGAGCGATGGGTGTTAGCCGTTGCCTTGCCCAGGACTCTCCCAGCTGAAATGATGAACCAAGTAGTAGCTCACATCAACAGCCCAGACCTGGTGCCTGGACCAGTGGGGTCAGTTAGCAAAGAGTAACGGTACCAGTCAGTTGTATGACACCAACTCTTGACTGTGAAGTAGGGGTTGGGTCTTGGTTCAACAGAAAGGTCAGATCTCCATTCACAATATGCAGGAAGAAAACAAAACCCCCAAATTAACAGTATTTTTCGTGTGGTCTGCTCACTACGTATGTCCAAGGTCAGTGTGATCTACCAACCTTGTTACCAGGCTTGGTCTACAACCACAGATCTCCAGTAACACAGAAGCAATAATATGAGCTGTCAAAGAATCTACATTTCTCTCCTCTTTCCTAAAGTGGGTTTCCAAAGGTCCAACCCGATTTACGTATTCAAGCCTCTGATTTTTTATTTTACCTTATTTTTAATAACTTTATATACTTATTCTATTTTCAGCACTTTAAAAATTGTATTCCAAGTGCTTTCAGGGTTGGTACTTTGAAAAAAAACCCCAAAACCAAACAATCAAAGTCCTGGTAGATTAGAGCTGACATCTCATCTTTCCACCCACTGTTTTCCAAAGATATTCCCTATCTTTAAAATGGGAAATTCCACTGGAACCGGCGGAAGCCTTCCAACGAGTGGATACTTTTAAAGACATCTCCTTGATGAGCTCAAATAAACGCTTTTTAACAAAGGCAGAACTGCTGAAAGTATAAAGGAGGTTTTCTTTCTCCTCATCAAATTAATAGAGCCAAACCAAAAAAATTTGCAACCCCTATAAATGCACAGTAAGCTCCAAATTTTCTTCAAATACTCGAAAAGCAAAATAACTTTCACAAGCATATCAACATAAAGCAGAACGCTCCCGTCCAACAAATACAAGGAGCTAGTTTAAAAAAATAATTAGAAAAAATACAAGCTACATTTTCTGCCATAGGCTCTGTTCTGCAGGAAAAGACCGCAGAGTATTTAAGCGAACTGTCTGGGTTAATGACAGCTGATGTCCCGTATCCCTTAGCAGTAGTCATGACCTTCAGGCCTCCCGTGACTGACGGGCTGACCCCAGTCACTCCAGGGTGCAAGGTAAATGACAATCAAAGAAGAAAAAGAAAGAGAAGAGAAAGAAAACTTGCTGCCGGCTTTGTAGCCAAGCTTCCTAATAAAACCTAATTCAAGCTGTCAGGGTGAAATGAAGAAAGTGTCAACAGGGGTTTTCAGAGAAATATTCCAAATGTTTGGCTAGAAAAGCCAAGAGCTCGGCTCCCTTCCCCCAGCCCAACACTGCTCCTCAAAAAGGGCTGGAAAATCCAATGTCGAAAGGAATTTTAATAACATGTCCGGAGGGACCCCTGAGGAGGGACCCAAGGGGACACTTTTCTTCCCTTCCCTGACAAACCCAATCACCTCCGTAATGGTGAAGAACACAAAACACGCAAGGGAAGTGCCAACAGTGGGGTTCGGTGAAACCAGCATCCGTGTGAAATCGGACCATTCTGCCGGCTTCAGAAACCGAGATGTTTAATGGTGACCCACAGGTTAAGAGCCTTGGGAGCCACCAAAGAGAACAACCTGCCACCAGTGAAAGGCTGAGATTAAACGTGGGGTGAGAAACGTCCTGTGCTTCCACATCAACCAATGAGCTACGTCCTCTAGCAGAGGATGGAGAGAAAGTGCCTCTCCAAATTGCTATCCCTCGCACAAAGGAAGAGAATTAAAACCCTGGAGAGCGTTGTGTAGGCACTGAAACATCTGGCGAGTCCCCAAAACACAGCCCTAGCTTCGTATCAGCACTGGGGCAATGTCCAGTGTGTCAGGCCATGGACGTGAAGCTGCCAAGGGGGGTGAAACCCCCCCACCCAGTCCAACCTCCTGCTAGTACGGTGCTGCAAATAGTCAGAGGGGAAGAAGGATCCCTCCTTCAAGTAAAAATCTTGTTATTCATTTATATACCTCTACCAAGTTGAAGACGTTCCTGGGTGCAAAAAGAAAGCACCAACTTGCAGTATCTGGCTAATATAGCTGTTTTCCAATCTCACACACATATGCATGGGAAAAACCAGCATCAAGGCACTTTGGGATGGAGAAGGGAGGGTAAATGCATGGAATATTTTGGAGGCTTTAATAAAAAAAAAAAATTATATTATTTGTATTCAGGGTTGGTACGGAAACAAGAAAAACAAAAACCCTAAACCAGCAGCCGAAACTCATTAACACACAGGGCAAATCAAAACCTCAAGAGTGTTCCTGCCAACGCGCTCCTTGAGGGACAGTCTGGGGAGGCCACGTGGAGGTCGTAGATGTTATACCAGGCACTGACCTGATGACAAGTGGACATCACTACCTTTCTCGAGACAACCATATTCATCTATTTAGTACCACTGACTCAGAAACATCTCCTACATGAGGCAGATATTTTTGAAGACTTGGCCAGCCCTTTGTACACAAAGGATGCTACTGCTCCAAGGAGACCACCAGCCACCTCCAGCCTGGACAGGGTATATCCAAGCAGTTGAGCAGCATGAAGGGTTGAGGAAGAGAATTCATATTTTAACCCTGTTGAGATCTTTCAGTGCAGACAAAACCTCCGTATTACAACTATTAGCACACTCATCCCCTACCTCAGATGAAGATCTTCTGAAAACTTCAGACAGGCGTAAATGAATTCCTTAATCTGATTGTAAACTTTAGGCACAAACTCAGAGAAGGGGAACTTCTTTGGAAACGGTTGCTGTAAAATACAGAAGAGAATTCAAGTCAAAGAGCAGATATTTAACAGGAGTGACGACCGCTTTCCAGCAACATGTTCCAAGCAGTCAAATTAATTCTAGTATTTAGCTAAGTCCAGCAATGAAACAACAAGCCAGCATTTATTGTATATTATATAAACATTTCAGCCAAGTGAAAGACCAGATAATCACTTACAAATGGCACACGGGTGCATAAGGGATTTGGAGTCTGAAACAGGCTGGAAGAAAACTTGCAGCTAGGAGGGAGCAGGCAGCACAACGCGACCCTCATTCCCTCTCCCAACTCCCTAATTCGTATGAAAAAAACCCTTTGGAGAACTCCTTGACTTTTATCTCCCACCATGCTCAAGGTGTTTTGCTCCGTCACCTCCCACAGTTGCTGCCCAAGGTGAGCACTTGCTTACAACACCAAAAGCCAAGAGGAAACAGATGTCCTCTACCAAATTTTTCCAGCCAGCTTTTACCCATAGCACACTCATGGCTGGGAGGTGCAGAGCGTAATAGTAAGAAACTGGACCCCATGATACAGTTTTGGGGAAGGATGCAGACTTTCTGAAATCTAAACACTTGACTTGGATCGAAAACCCTCCCAGTCCTAATTAAGTTCACCAGGCTTGGAGCTCTCTGGCTGCCAGATGTGGAGCAGAAGGCCAAGCAGGCTTTTAAGGGACTCTGGCTAGGTCAAATTCGGTTTTGCAAGCACACACTTCTACAAAAGGCAAGATATACCACTTTGTTAGGCTTTTTTTTTTTTTAATATGAGATTAAAATAAATAAAGGTCAACAACAGGGTTCATAAAATGGGAATAAAATACCAATGGAAGCAGATATTTCTAGTCTCTTGTCTACTGCAAGCACTGTTCAGCTGCGGTAGTACACTGTGATCTGAAAACAAAATTGATGAGGTATTGCTATACACACTTTCCTCATCCACACCAGGAGAAATGCAAACATGAAAAGTGTATTTGTTCTTTTCCCTTGTTTTGTTTTTGTTGTTGTTGTTTATTTGTTTTGGAGTTTTGGGTTTGTTTGTTTGGGTTTTTTGACACTTTCATTTGCAGTTCTCCATGCCACTAACAAGGGTGCGGGGTTCTCCTGCAAACACGCCGTGACACTTTCCCCATTTCAAGATTACCTTTTCAAGTTCTGCGTCCTGGAATGGGAACTGTCCAACTATTTTCTTATAAACCTCTTCATTTGTCACTGGGATGGGACTGTAGTTATCTGAATCAAGTATATTTCTACAAAAAGGAAAGAAAAGTTAGAAAGACAGCTCTGTGACAACAGACCAACCACAACTTTGCAGATTTACTGCTCAGTTGGGAAGCTCTTAAGAAGTAGGTGCCAGTCAAAGATGTGATCCCATGGGCCTAAACTTCTTCCCGTGTTTGTGACTGTGGAAGTCACATTTGCTGCAGCCGGACACAAGGATCTCTCCCAGCTTCCAGCCTTCATTGTGCGTAAAGCCACGACCAGAGTTTAGCGGTGCTTTTAGTCCAGACTGGAGCTTCAGCAGCAAGTCCCGGTAAAGCCCAAGTGAGCTTCAGTCCTGCCTGACTCAAGGAAGATGGAGGCTGAGCTTCCAGGGCATTGACAATCCTCCAGCACCTCTTCCCAATGCTCCATGCTCTAAGATACCTCAATCCTCCTGGGATGTCCTGGAGGACCATCACAGGATGAGCTGGTGGCTCCCAAGCGCAGCGTGGGACCCTGGATAATATATTGTGCCCCACCTGTGGGCAACCGCTCAGCTCACGGACGTGCCTACAGCACCAGCACCAGGATACGCCACCGATGTCCCGAGACGCATGTGGCTCAGCGCTGGAGCAAGGGCACAGGAACGCTACTGCAGCACCAGATTTTTGTATCCTTCCACCTATCGACTGTCGAAGTGAGCTCCATAAAACCATAACCTTATCCCTCTGGGATGTAAAACCTCTGGTCTACACCCATTTATTGCACAGATCTCACCTCACACAGGATCCTCACAACTGTATTTAAATTGGCTCTCCCTGGTCCAAGGAGAGCCCAGGCTGAAGCTTACTGTTGCCCAAAATTTAAAAATGAGCTTGTAACTAATCTCTCAAAAGATTTTATTTATGGGCCAAAACTACTCTGTAAGGTACATCTCATGAGCTTGCTTAAAGAGCTTCTTACCTGAAAACTCCTGACCATTTCTTCAGCAGGGTTTCACTATACTGGTCTTGGATCTCCAACAGCATGTCAAAGAGCTGGTTCACCGGGAAGCCGTATCCCTGCAGTGGGGTGGGGGAAGAGAGCAACTTCAGACAAGAAAAAGTCCCCAACAGGCAGCTGAAGATTATTTTCTCTATTTAATAGGGAGCACATGGGCAAATTCTCCCCTACCACTACCACAGAGGTGAACAGTGCTGGTGGAGGGATTTAGGCGGTGATTTACCGAGGTGGTAGGACCAAGGGCTATTAAAGGCTGGGCTGGGTGTGGGCAGGAGGCACAAGGGCTTGGCAAGGTGGCCAAGGCTTGGTGCTTGCCCACGGGCTGGCCACCCCACGCACAGAGCGAACCAGGCTGTCCATCGGGCACCACAGTTCATGCACCACAATGCCAGAAAAGAAGCCGGGCCACCACAGCAAGCCCACATCAGCCATAACCCCGCTGACGGACACCATCTGCGAGCAGCACAACAGTTGAGCGAGATAAAGAGCAGTCGCCAACAGCCGGGTACCTGGAGTGTATCTGCAAAGAGGACAATGAGGTTCTTCAAGTCTAACACCAGGCTCGGGTCTGAGCAGTAGGACTGCAAAGAAGGGGAGAAATTAAAACATGGTTTTAACTGCAGCACGCAGGTAAAATATTGCCCTCAGCCCTCCTGCGTTATCACTTGAGTGATAATAAATACACAGGCACGCCGTACAGTCTTATGATCAGCAGCTTTTATCCTACAGCCCATGCCCTAATGTTGTACAGGGCAAGGGAAGGCACGCTGATAAGGGTATCTCTCCTCGTAACGCACTGCTCTTGAGGCTCTCCATGATGAATAAGGATTTTGGTTGCTCTAGAGATACCTGAAGTGTCTCTAAGATTACCCAGGAGCTGCCGGGGAAGCGAGAGGAGATGAAGCAAATCAGCGCGCTGTCATACCAAGACGACAGCAGCTCCTCTCATTTAATATTTAGTGTGTTGTGTCTGACGGTAATGAAGCATCGCAGCGAGGCATCCCCGAGCCCCGTGCGAAGGCTGCATTGCTAAGTGGTTCAGGCTGACAAAAAACACGCTGCATGCCTGTATTTCAGCAGCATTAATGGTCAGAGCTACAATACAAGTATTTATTGCGGGTCAGGACAGTGCTTGAAACCCTAAAGACACAACTCAGCTCAGTGACAGCGCCGATCGTCCCCCCGGAGCCACCCCGTGTTACCCACAGGCTTCATGCGCTCTCTGGACACAGCAGACAACCTCCCTGTGCTGAAATATGTAAAGTTTCAGACAGACTCTTACCAAATATAGAATCAGTGATCATAAGCTGGAAGGAGAAACAGATTTAAAGCTCACTGGAAACTCAAGGAGGAATGACTCCATTAATCAATGTGAAAGACTGGAAGAGACACATTTTCCATTTCACTGTCCAAAAAAGAAAGTCAGAAAGAAAGATAATGCCCTAAAGCTATCAGAAGTGATAAAAGATGTCCCCGTCTGCAGCAAGGAAGAAAATCCAGGCCTAAGTTTGGCTGAACGGGAAGAGCCAAAACAGCCTCACCGACGTGAGAGCCCTCCATCAAGTCTCAATGGCAATATGGGATGGACGGCACTGGTCTATATGGGAGCTGTAGGCTGAGCAGTGCATAGAGATGACGCTGATGAGAAATCACGTAACATTTCGTGAAATGACTGAAAAAAAACTCGCCTGGCAGCCACTTCGTGCATTAAGTTTGGCATCACTTAAAACAACTTGTCATGGCAACAAAGCTGGTAAAATTAAAAAACACTGTGTTTGTACCTGGCTTACTCTCACGGCTTTCACCTAGCAGAAAACCCCACTTAAAAAGAAAATAAACACAGGTTTACAACCTAGCAGGGTGTACTTCTCTGTGTTTTTCTCCTTTCCTAACACAGAAGCTTAAGTGGAAGGAGGCAGCCTTCCAGTCAACACAACTGCCGTGCCGGACGGAGCCGGAGCGCCCTGGGAAGCCTCTGCGGTCCCTCATCCCCACGAGCTCCAGGTCCATCACCTGGATTGTGCCCACCCGCACAGGTAAAGCCAAGCAGCTCTTCAGCAACACTGCCATGGGCGACCACACTCAGCTGAAGTCAGGGGCACGTAAATGCAAAACTCAGTGTGGTTTGAAGGAAGCAGCGTATTGTATCTCCAGGCAGAAATTTTAGGGTTTTCTCAGCAAAGAGCAACGACATCGTTATCGCTTGGGTACCACCACGTGCATGTTACATCACGTTAGATGCAGGCCTGCGCCGCCATGACCCAGCAGCATCCTCGTGCTCTCAGACAGCACTGTCGTCCCCCAGCAGCAGAGGGACTTCAGTTATTTAATACTTCGTTTTTTCTGGAGAAAACGGCCCAATAACTTGAAAACGAACTTGCGGAAAGTCATTAATGCTTTTTCTTTTATGGTCAAACACAATTTTTTCATCCCATTAACCAACAGGGTTTTCAGAAAACTCCAGTGCTCCCAACTGAACCAGTACAACATTGTATCAGGTCATACAAAACTGGAAGAAAATTGTACATTTTTTGCAATTAGCTTTGGGTTTTTTACTCAAGCAGAGAAATACCGAAGCGATAAGCAATTTTTCCAAACTTCTTTCAGTATTAAAGAATAAGAAGTCTATTTAGTGCCTTTTTATGTGCAAATGATTTGCAGTCTGATAGCAGCCCATTCACTGCCATGAACTTTAAGGGAATATCAAACAAGGTCATACTTCAGTGTGCCATATAGACACTTTTTTCCCCAGTTTTCCGGGACAAACCGACTCCCTCTGCTGGTACTTTTCAAAAGTGATCAGCAAAGTAACGGGAAAAATATCAAACCACTATTTTCTTCTTTCCAGTCCCCCAAAATATTGAGAGTTTCATACAGGGGAATGAGTGCATCAAGAGGCAAAAAAAAGCTGGAGAAAGCTTTTGGGGAAATAGCAGTGTATTTTCATGTTATTGTTTTACAAAGGGTCATTGGAAAAGAGGCAAAACAAAGAATACTACTGTAAAAGCCAATATTTCCAGCATGTCAAGTCATACTCAAGCAACAGCTGAGCGATCCGGAGCTTTTACTTACTGAGTGTGTTCTTAGTGCTGCAATAGTTTTTGATAACGCCATCTCCCACAGCTCATCAATATAGGCTCTATTTACCAAGCCCTGCGTTGTATGCAAGATGTGATCCTCAACTACAAAAAACCTAACAGAGAGGAGAAAATGGCACTGTTATCAAAAGTTACAGGTTTCGAGACATCAAAAGAGATCTGCAAACACCACATGCGAGGGATACGCGGCATTTGCACATCCACAAATCTCCAGAGCAAGCTCAGATTTGCAGTAGTATCTGTATCAAATATAGCCAACGCTAAACACTTTATTCACCTATTTTTAACATCGCAGTATTTTATATGATGTTTCACTGTATTATAGAAGTGAGCTAAAACACAGTTGCTCCTAGTAATGGCACTCTGTGTATACACACAAAGGCAGAATTTCCCCTCTCTAAGTTCTCCACCCCATTATTTGAACAAGAACCGCTGATTAAACTCTGTTCCAGCCAGCAGCAATCGCATTACAATTGGTTAACTGCAGGGAAAAATACTTTAACTGCAGGGAAAAATACTCTCTCGCGCCCAGACACACCACATGCTCACAACCATTTAAAGGCAATCAATTCACTCCAATCTCCAGTTATCAAACACGCTAGCCAAAAAGAAACTGTATTTTTCAGGAGCGAGCGTGGCACCGTACATTTTGAACAGCAACGCCCAAAATCTTAGCTGTGTTTTGTTGGGGAAATTCAGCCCAGGAGCACGGAGCTGCGTGAGAAAGTGAGCAGCACACATCACCTTTGCGATGGTCACAATGAGACGTTGAAATTATTATCGTTAGCTGAAGAAATTTCAACATCATACCCTATCTTTGCTAGATCAGCGGTCTTAGGTTGCCTCCTCTTAGAGCTCAGCTGGTTTTGGAAGACTCTTGCCAAATTCGAGTGCAATAATAAGAAGCTCACAGGAATAGAGGCTTGAGAATCACCTCCTTTACCAGGAAAATAATCAAAGAATAATTATCAAATACTAAAGAATAATTAAGGCAGAGGGCCTATTCATGTCATTAGTGGGGCAAGTAGATGCACATAGTCCACAGAGATTATTTATCCGCAAATTCCCAGAAATGCGCTTGCTAGTACAAGAGCTGGCAGGTTCCTCCATGCTCCCGCTGGCGACACAGCAGAGTTCATGGGTGCTATAAAATACACTCTAAAACACTTAAAAAGCCCAAACCACCTTTTTTTTCCTTCCTGTTTTGGCTCCATTTAAAGGATCCTCAAAAAGATCAACATTGCCTCCTCTCTCTTTCTTTTTGGGCTCCTCAACACAGCACGCACATATTTAGCGAGGATATATATAAAAAGAATACCTACCCTACAATTTGATTAAAATACTTCCTGTAGCCATCTAAAGTTTCATGCTGCAACAAAGAAAAAGTGAGCAAAGATTAAAACAAAGGTGACCAAGAGCAACTGGAAATGAACTAGAGACCACCCACTGGCAACAAACGCCCAGAGATAACCCTCCGCTCCTTTATTCAGCAGAGCAAGTTTGGGCACTGCAAGTAGGGGACCATCGTACCATGTTTGAAGGAGGCTGCAGGACCAATCTGGCTTGTTTTCTTCTCTGCTTCCTGTAGTAGTTCTCAAAGGTTTCTCGGGCACCCTGGAAAACAGACGAGATTAATTCCAGTAATTATAATAGTTTGCATTAACCGTTAACTTGCAATGTACTGCGTTTACCGTCAACTTGCATTTAAGATGCAAATCTCATACTCCTCCAGCGTATCTGTGCAACGCTTTTCTGCAAAATTCAATCCAAATATCAGATGACAAAGAGTTTTACTCTAAACACCAAATCAAAAAATCAGCTGTTCAGGTATAAGAGTATCCGATGAATTCTCTGTACCCATTTTCCAATATTGCCGTGCAGATGTGGTACATGGAGGTATGCAACCAGCTTCTTTACCTGACCATAACATGGACAAACATCATATTTACTTAACTGTGGGGGCAGTGAAACAACCAACTTCTAGTGTTAGCAAAAAGAAAGAGGGGACAAACAATGCCCGAAATTCTTTCACTGATTCAGGGGTGCAAAGTGATGCAAAGCCACAAACATCAGGGAATTTAGGAAAAACGTGCTTGTGTGAGTTATAGCCATTTATGAGACTGGTCTATATAGTTGGGAAAAATAAAGCAGGTTTTTGAACTCATTTTCTACCAACTTTACTGTGGGTCTGAGCCTCCAGAGGAGAGCCGGTTAGTGCCGAAAGCCGAAGACCTGAGCTCCCCTCCACGGGCATCGCCCACCCACGCCGGGCGCTCCTCTGGGGGCTTCTTCTGTAGGTGGCTTGTTTTACCAAGCCAGGCTACATCTGAGCATCCCCACCCAGGCAACAAACCCATGAGGATCCTCAAATGCCATCGACCTGCTGAAGCGTTCAGACGTCCGCCTACCGCCCTGGTCCCCTAGGCTATGTAAAACCTTGCCGTTTTATCCCTGCCTGTTCCTCCCTCCTCCACGCCCGCGCTGTTTTATGTCTGAAATTGGATTATAAACACTTCAGAGAAGGGACAAGGTCTTGCTTTGAACTGTTCCGAGCCAAAAAAAAAAAAAAAAAAAAAATCTCATTTGGAATTCACAAAACAAACAACGCGCAACAACAAATCTCACCTGAGCAAGGCACCAGACGTCAACCTTCTCTACTACACCAAAATAAATTAATTACAAGAAAAGCCTGATGCTAATTTAACGATTCTCCACCTACTACGGCATTATACAACCAGGCTGCCTTAGGATGCCCTTGACTAAAGGGGTCTTATGAAATGTCTGCAATGAACCCTTGAGGAGCTGTTGCCTGACTTGCTCCTTGTCTTCTACAAGCTGGAGCTCAAGGCTTAAACAAAAATTCAGCCTACTGATGGGCCCAGGAGCATTCCCACCCGGTACTGCCCTTCCCAACAGTGCTAAAATGCACCCAAAAAAACCTTCTTACGACCATGCACATGCATTGCAAAGATTATGCAAATTTATATCATGGGTTTTGTCTCTCAATTATACTTTTTATCCTAGCTGAATATCAGGGGTGGACAGGATGAGCAGCTCCTGACCCATGAGCCGGGCACATCCATCCAACCATCAGTGGTGCCAATACGCCAGGGCAAGGGACAAACCAGGATCGGGTATAAATCCAAGTCATTCTCCTGCAATCCCACATCAGCTTGAACCTACGAGTAATCTGACATTTTAAGAAAGCTTTTCAGAAACAGTAACTATCTGGGAACCAGCATTTCCATGTCGTAAGTCGTCTCAATTCTCCCAAAAGCTGTTGCCCTCTGGAAAGGGAAGAGTCATGAGCCCAAAACCACTGATCTACAGGTTAGACGCAGAACAGGGAGGATTATTACAATTTTTATCAAGCTAAGTGCTAGCCCCCTTCAGAGGACCTACAAGCAGGGAGCTATGACCTCCCTTCGAGCTCCTCTACCAGGCCTCGGAGCCGGTGCTTCGTAAGATGCTGGTGTCACCCAGCATCTTCCACTGATTCAAGGGTGCAAAGTGAAGCAAAGCCACAAACATCAGGGATTTTAGGAAAAACGTGCTTGTGTGGGTTATAGCCATTTATGAGACCGGTCTATACAGCTGGGAAAAATAAAGCAGGTTTCTGAACTCATTTTCTCCCAACTTTACTGTGGGTCTGAGCCTCCAGAGGAGAGCCGGTTAGTCCCGAAATCTCCTCTCAATTTTGGCGGTGCCACAGGAGAACCAAGACAGAATGGGCTGTCCCACTCCCACCAGGCCACTGATGGGACCGGACTTAAGATATTTATTAAATCCTGCTGTGCCTCATCTCTCAAAACCTACACAAGTGGCACAAAAAACCCTGATCATCTTCATCCTAACCATGAGAACAACTCATCTCTGGTAGCATCACTGAGATCATAGAATCATAGAACCATTAAGGTTGGAAAAGACCTCTAAGATCATCAAGTCCAACCGTCAACCCAACACCACCATGCCCACTAAACCTCAGCACCTCACCTACACGTCTTTTAAATACTTCCAGGGATAGTTACTCCACCACTTCCCTGGGCAGCTTCTTCCAAGGCCTGACCACTCTTTCAGT